GAACAGAAGAAAAAAACACAAGCTTTAACTTGAAATATTGAAGGATTCTATGGGCAAATATTGAATGATGCAGAAAGCATGAAAAGAAGATGGAAGGACTACACAGAGCCACTGTACCAAAAATAAATGAACAATGTCCTACCATGTCAAGAGGTCGCATATGATCAAGAACCAATGGTTCAGATGGAAGAAGTTTCACTGACAGCATTAGTAAAAAACAAGGTTCCAGGAATTGATGGCATACAAATTGAAATCTTTCAGCAAACTGATACAGCACTGGAGGCACTATTCATTTATGCCAAGAAATTTGGAAGACAGTTACCTGGCCAATGGATTGGAAGAGATCCATATTTATGCCCATTCCAAAAGGAGGTGACCCAATGGGATGTGGACATCATGGAACAATATCATTAATATCACATGCATGTAAAATTTTGCTTCAGATGTTTCAAAACCAGTTGCAACAGTACATCGATAGGAAACTTCAAGCTGGATCTAGAAGAAAACATGGAACTAAGGATATCATTGCTGGCATCAGATGGATCTTGACTAAATGCTGAAACTACCAGAAAGATATTTACTTGTGCTTTCCGACTATGCAAAGGCTTTTGACTATAGGGACCATGGCAAATTATGGATAACATTGCAGTACCATTGGTGACACAGTGGTTAGAGCTTGGCAGATAATTGAAAGGTCAGCAGTTCAAACTCATCAGGTGCTCCACGGGAGAAAGATGTGGAAGTCTGCTTCTATAAAACTTATAATCATAGCAACCCTAAGGTACAGTTCTTATTCCTGTAGTGTCGATTGATGGCAATGGCTTTGATTTTGGTATATTCAATAATTATTTTGTAAAATATTAAATTCAATGTATTTGTGTGATTTTGATCCATTGTGTAGTAATCAAAATGCTAGTGATAACTCAATTTGGAAGGTTAGCCTAAAATGATCCCAAAGGAGTTTTAAAAAGTAATTATAATTTATATGACTAATTTTTTGTTGCAGGAAAATATAACAGGTTTATGAATTTTAAAAGTCTACAACATATATAAGATTTAGATATCATTTCATGGGGAAATAGAATAAAAAATGAGTTCAAGTAAAAAAAATGTAGGAAACCATATAAAATTTAAAGAGCTTAGGCATTCTGGTACAGCTAATGGCATCAAATCATTGAGGCTGATACATTTTTAAAAAGGAACATTAAAATTTAATTTAAACATTATCCTATTTATAATACCCCAGAAATTATATCTTCTGAAATTATTTATGATTGTGATAGAAACATTTTAAATCTATTTAAAAATGTGTGAAAGAGTACATAAAATAAGTTTACCAAATTTTGTTGTTGTTGTACTCAAGGATAAAACTTGAAGATCATTGCTTTACAGAAAGTTGCCCTCCACAATGTATGATCTGCTGCTTGATGCATGAGGCAGCAAACCATTATACTTACGAACTTGAACTGTAGAAAACAGACTGTGTTCCAATTTAAACTCTCTGTAATTCATTGTTTAACCTTCAACAAGTTACTGACCTCTCTAAATCTTGTCTATATAATGGAGATGATGACAGTAGCCAATATGTAAGATCATATACAAAATCTATATATAAAATGATTTCTATCAAGTTCTTAGGAAAATGTCTACACACAGTAAGTGTCATATATGTATGGATTCATGTAAGTTGTCATAGACAAGACAGTTCAGAGAAAGGGATAGACATGTTCATATGGTCTAGAAGAATTGATACTTTTGAGTTATGGTATTGGAGGAGAATATTGAAAGTGCCATGGGCTACCAAAAGAACCAGTAGATCCGTTTTGGAAGAAGTGCAGCCAGAGTGCTCCTTGGAGGCCAAGATGGCCAAACTTCGTCTCTCATACTTTGGACATATTGTCAGGAGGGACCAGTCACTGGAGAAAGACATCATGTTTGGTAAGGTGGAGAGTCAGAGAAAAAAGAGGAAGACCCCTAACAAGATGGATTGGCCAAGTGGCAGCATCAATGGACTCAAGTGTGGCAACAGAAGTGAGGTTGGCCCAGGATCGGGCAGTGTTTCGTTCTGCTGTGCATAAGGTCGCTATGAGTCGGTACCGACTCTTTGGCACCTAACAACAAAATGGTCTCTAAGAATGAATAAAATAAACTTTTAAAAGAGAATAAAGGATCAGTTGAGAGACATAAATACTGTGAGTTGCAATGGCGGAAGAGTATGAGGCATTGGATGCAGAGGTCAAGGGATACTCCTTTTTTAAAAAAATGCTTAACTTAAAGGGATTAGTTCAGGACCTGTTTAAACTAAGCACTTCCCTTAAGTATATTGGATAATCTGAACAATTCACGATTTTTTCTGGAGCTCATTATATAAAGTACATAGGAGAATAGTGAATACTAAGTGGAGGTGTCTCAGAAGAAAGATCTGGTGATCTGTTAAAGACTACAACCATTGAGAACCCTGTGGAACACAGTGCTACTCTGACACACGTGGGGTCACCAGGAGTCAAAGCAGACTCCACAGCAACTGGGGTGATTTTTGGTATTTCAAGTAGTGAGTAGTGAAAATAAACTTAATAAACATATTTAAGATAAAAAAAAAAATGAAGAATTTTACTGAGAAAATTATCCTAATTACATAAGATGAAATTATATCTCTCTTAAGGAGCACTGGTGCACAGTGATTAGGCACACTGCTGTTAACCAAAAGGGCGGCCATCAAACCCATCAGCCACTCCAGGGGAGAATAATGTGGAAGTCTACTGTAGACAAGATCTCCCTCCAGCACTGAAACTCTATGAGGCAGCTCTATCCTATTCTATAGGGTTGCTGTGAATTGGTAGATTTGGGTTTTTGACCTACCCTGCTAAAATTCTAGTGCCTTCATTCTCTATATACTATATACTAACCTTGGTTTTGATTATAATTTTATCCACAATTCTGTTTGTATGATGTGTCTGCAACTCAGTAATATGCCATTAGCCATACTCCTTCAATGTGGTTCCTGCTTACAGCTTAGCTTTGCTACTCTGCCTTCTTTGTCTGGTTCTGAATCTCAGTTCTACCTATGTGTTTTGTATACTATGTGAAAGGACTATGAAATGACCTCTTACTGTTCTTTTACTAAGGGTTATGTGAGTGATAACACACACGTACACAAATCAAGAGAAGTCTAAATGGAAGGTGAAAATCACAACTCTGCTACTACCTGTGTAATCTTGAGAAACTCAAAACTTCTCTGAGCCTCAATTTTCTTTTCTTTTCACTAAAAAACAAAACCTATTACCATGGAGTTGATTATGACTTCGAGTGGCCCAATAGCACCCCTATAACAGAGTTGAACTGCTTCTTCAGGGTTTCCAAGACTTTATAGGAGTAGACAGCCTCATGTCTCTCCCGCAGATCGGCTGGTGGGTTTGAACCATCAACCTTGTGGTTAATAGCTCAACACTAAACCCACTGCCCACCATGGCTCATTTTTTCTTTATAATTGTTGTTGTAAAGTGCTGTTGAGTCAGTTCTGACCCATAGTAACCCTGTATAGGGCTTCCAAGAAACAGCTTATTGTTTGAACCACCACTGATCGGATGGTTCACAGTCCAGTGTTTATCCTACAGTTCCACACCAGGACTCCTTCTTTACAATAGGGTTAATAATTTCTAACTGATAAGAAAATTGATGCATTTGAGTTATAGTACTGGAGAAGAAAATTGAAAGTACCATGGACTACCAGAAGAACAAACAGGTCTGTGTTGGAAGAGGTACAACCACAATGATTCTTTGTGACAAGGATGGTGAGACTTCACCTCTCATCCTTCGGACATTTTATTAAGAAAGACCAGCCCCTGGAGAAGGACATTGTGGTTGGTAAATGAAGGGTCAACGTAAAAGAGAAAGACCATCAAGGAGATGGACTGACAGCATAGCAGCAGCAATGGGCTAAAACGTAGCAATAATTGTGAGAATGGTACAGGACCAGACAGTGTTTTTTTCTGTTATGCACAGTATTGCTGTGAGTCAGCACTGACTCGACACCACCTAATAACAACAAGAAGCATGCCATAAAGATTGAGAGATATATGGCATTTAGCACAGTTAACAGTCAGAAAATGATAGCTGTTATTTTAATATTTTTCCTATTATTATTCCTGACACAGTGAACAAAACAATTTACTGGAATTCTGATTAATTTAAGCAAATATTTTGCAACACTAAGTATATTGTTTCCAGTACTGTCAATGATGAATGGCAATCTGGAAAGTCACAAAGTTTATGTTTTCTCTGGAACCAGAAGCTGAAACTAAAAATATCTACCAGAACTGGAAAGCAGGGAACAAAAACCAGGCTGGAAGGATCTGCTTTAAGTACTGTTACAGGTTGAAATTAGTGTGACTGTGGTGAATAATAAGGAGGTCTGCTAGCGTAGTGGTTATGAGTTGGGCTGCTAACCTCAAGGTCAGCAGTTCGAAACTAACAGTGGCTCCCTGGGAGAAAGGTAAGGGTTTTTGCTCCTGTAAAGATTTACAACCTCAGAAACCCTGTACAGGGTTGTTATGAGTTGGATCTGTCTCCACAGCACACAAACACCACCACCATTCTATCTGGCTATTGTATCCAGATTGTTATTGTTGTTAAGTGTTTTTGAGTCAGTCCTGACTCACAGCAACCCTTTATAGGATTTCTAAGGAGTGGCTGGTGGGTTTGAACCATGGACTTTGTGGTTCAAATAGACCTTGCAGTCCAATGCTTACCCTACAATGCCACACCAGGTCTCTGAATTGAGACTACTCCAGATTAACACTGCTCAGTTCCCAAAGATTTATCGAAGACTAACCAAGTATACAAAATGCAAAGAATTCCAGTACAGAATGAATTATATTGCTACTTTGCTGTTTAGAACTAGGCTTTCAATTGCAATTATAACAAAAGTGAGATAAGCATTTAGATTTTTGATTATTAAGGTAAACTAAAAATTGTTTATAAATGTTCTTTTTCATCAACAGGATTTGCTAGTCCACTTACAGGGATAGCAGATACTTCTCAAAGCAGCATGCACAATGCCTTGCACATCTATATGAATGGAACGATGTCCCAGGTACAAGGATCTGCCAATGATCCCATCTTTCTTCTTCATCATGCATTTGTTGATAGGTTGGTTGACATTTTTTCATAAATTATGTGCTGTTGGGTTTAAATGAACTGGATGTCTACGAAATGGGACTTTCCTTATCATAGGAAACTAAGGAGTTATGGTTTCTTCTGTTTCTGATTGAGTTCTCTCAGAAGCATACCCTAAACTAAGACTTGGGGCTCAAATGATTCATTAAGATAGTATAATAACAGTGTGGGGGGCCATGTCTGACTTCCTCTGGCTTCTCAAGGGGGATGGAGAATCATATTCAAAATCAGTCCAGAACTGATTCCTCTGAGGTAGAGTTCAGACATGCTTCCACCCTTCAACTATCTTTACCCTCTTCTGACCTGAGCCATCCCTTCCACAGCACTCTCTGCTTAACAGCTGGGTTTCATAATCCATTGCAATGGCAAAAACAGAACTCATAAGTAATACTCACAATTACAAGGTTTATTAAGAAAGTGAACAGGGCAGAATTCAGGACCAGAAACAATTATAATGCAGCAGTCCGACAGTCCCCTTTTTCCCCCTATACTAGAGGCATGCCTTGTTCTTGTCTTCATTTCTCAGCCATGTGCCTCCTCAGCCTTTGCCATTCTTGGGCAAGTGTTACAAAGCTCTTATAGCCAATCTGTAAATGCTCAAAAGGCACATTTTGCAAGCCAGCCTCCTGTCTATAGGCACTCAGATTTACTTGGTCCATGGGCCCCGAAGCCCACAGCTGCTCTGTTTCTCCAGGCTACTGCCTCTGTCATCACTTCAGCTGCAGATGCTCTTCCAGGTAGGGATCTCACGCTCCATTCATGGTTCTTCTTTCTTGGTGGTCCTGGGATCATCTGCTTCTGATTCTGAGCTGGATCTTTTTAAACTGAGCAGGATGGCACAACTAACCAATCCCTATATTAGAGTCCCATATACCTTATAATTACATGATCCCACCCACTTATTTGGTGGGAGTTACAAAGGAGCTCTGGTAGCGTAGTGGTTACGAATC